GGATGGCCAGCAGGCACTGCCGAGCAGCCCGCGGGCCGAAGGGGCCATCAGGAACGAGCCCGGGAGGTGCCGAGGAAGGCCTGGGAGCCTAGCCATCAATATTGATGGCTACCTGGCCCTCGGCAGGTGCCGTACTTTAGCCTGGCACCAGATATTCACCACCATATAATCCGTTGGCCCTCCCATTATATATATTGCTTTAGTAGGGTCATTATTTACTAGGCTGAGCTGCTTAATTGTGAGCTGTGGCTCTCTTAACCAGCATGCACTGGCTATAGCCCACTAATCAGTTTATCACCAAGACAACTACAGTCCATAGACACGTGCACCCATTCAGGTTTATCAAAAGCACTGTACTACACATCCCAGACCAGCCAATTCCTGTACCCTAAGTCCAAGCGTATCGGGATAGAAAACGGCGCCGTCAAAGACGATACGCAGTGGCAAACATTCGGCACATCCGCATGTGATCCTACGCTCGGTGATAAAAGCCCTGACATCCGTCCACCACCTCGAATCACCGCAATCACGCTCTCCGACAGGACTTCGGACCACCAATCTTATTTCGCGAAGATGGACCAGAATATTGGCCTGGCCGTCAGCGACCATGTAGCGCAAGAGGGGTATCCCTTCCTCCTCCATTATGTCAACGACACAGATTACGAGGGTCTCGAGCGACTTGGTGCGCCTCAGTAAATCTTGTGCCAGTCTACCGGTGTTTTCTATGGCCCCAAACATGAGGTCGGGATCTTCACGCCAGTAGTCCGGGCCAGAGACAGCATCGGGGTACGACAGCTCGATCGTCGTGACGGACGACCAGCAGAACGCGGAAAGGATGGGCGAGAACGGTGACTTGTAATCCTGCCTGCTGCCTGACGACGTAAGGAGATCGGCGGAGACCTCCATAACAACAGCGCAGTCCTGTTCGCTTGTGGAAGAGGAGGCCCGAGCAGAAAACTCGACGACCGTTCGACCGGATCGTGACTGAGCCGCGTGTATGCGGAGCGTAACTGCGTTGAAAAAGAGGTCTTCAAGATGAGGTGATAAAATTTCCATCGATTCAGTCAGACGATTCGACCATGTCGGCCTCGTCGTAGAAACCGGGTTTTCTGGGAAATCTTCGCGCCCATAGAACTCGACCCTGTGACCGCCCCACAAAACGCTCAAATCGACATTGAGGTGAAGCCTCGAAAGTCTTGGCACGTGAAGAATAGACAGAAGCTCTGTCAAGTATTGAGTGGCCGGGGGTTGATAGACGATGTTGTCACAGTAAGGCAGAATGACGACAGGAATGCGGTTGTCTCGAAATGAAAATCGGCCTGTCCGGCAGTACGCGTATTTTCCTATGACGAGCTTGCGAATAGAGGGTAGTGCACATAACATAGAAGCCATCTCACTGAGATCGCAGTCGACAAAGAGCTCGGACAGGGACGGGGATATTATGGGGGTTGGCACGTTTGTCTTCAGGCGCAAGAGACTGGCCATAGAAATAGCGGGCGGAGACGAGAAGGCGTTCACCGCAGCCAGGGCCACTGTGAGAGACGTTATACGCGTGCTGTCGAGTGCTACGAAGACTTCCTGCCAAAGTCGGAAATTCCCGCAGGCGCGTGCCGTAATTGAGACGTCCCGGAGTACACCGCAAGATTCGATGACGGAGCGGAAGAATGACGGGAACGTTGGTGATATGGATAGGAACTCTATCGAGTCCAGGGCAGGCGCTACGATAACGCCTTCACAATCCAGGGCCAGAGATAGTAGATTTGGGGCTCGTAGTTGGAGCGGTGTAGAGTTGGAGCGCACAGCAAGCGCTCTGTCGAGACGCAGGGCCGAGAGGTTGGGAAGAGAGCCCGCGCGAGATAGGACGTCGTTCCAGCTCGTGGTTCCATCGTCTCTCGATACGTGGACCCGACCAGCGCGGGCGATCTCAGCCGCTTGTGCTGCTAGCGATACTCTGTTCATGGTATTGATGAAGATAGGAGCATTCCCCGCCCTTTCGAACATCGCGGTCCACGCTTCGTCGTCCGCCGCGACGCCGAGTAGAGTAGCCCAAAACTTGGGGCAACTGTCCAGAATATCCCTCCAGCGGCGGCAGACTTCCCTGAGAGTCAACGGCCATTTGTCGAAAAGGTACTCTTGCTCCACTGTGGAAGGTTCTATGTCGCCCGCCCGGAGGAGAATTTGTACGAGCAATTCATTCGGGAGCACGTTGAAGCAATCCACGACATGAGCTGCGCTCTGGTGAGTAACTAAGCCTAAAAACAGTCCGTGATGAATACACTCACCGATTTTGTTGTACATTTCTTGCAACTACGTGATGGTCTGCCGGATGTGAGGGTGGTATTGCTCACTCACCCATGTGCGACGTGATGGCGGCAGCCGATCGAGCATGACGTCATCTGATGTCACATGATCGGCGGCAGCGAGACGCGTCTCGCGGACGACGCGGTCACGCGTGAGCGCAATAGATGAACATATGCGCCACCCTGCCGTTCAAAGTATCAATTGAGCCCTGGATATCGCGAAAGTAACCCTCATACTCAGCGTTCTGTTTGATAATGCCGTCGTACTTGTAGACCTTTCCTTGTTTAGAGACAAGCCTGCTTGTAAAGTGGAAGCCGCCACCGTACACCACGCCCCGAAGTCCGTATTGTTTACTTCCGATCGTCATTCTAAACTGAACGCTACGTTTAACGCCTTCGGTTTGAATGGCAAAAATAGGGACAGTGTCAGGTAGAATCGGTCCGGCTATTTGAAACATACCGCCGCAGTCACAAGTCCGTCTCGTTGCGAGCGCGCGCTTCAACGACTGAGCCAGCGTCGTGCAGTCGTCATCCGGAAGTATAGCCCACATTGCTTGCTGTGGCTGTGACCTGTGCACAACTTTCTTACATCTCAAGCAAGATAGGCGTATTTGTGGTGCTGGAGACGCAAGTTTCATCATCTGATAACAAACATCGCCGAGAAAGTTACCTGTGAAGGAAAACATGTCAGGAAACTTGACCATAAGCTCCGCTCGTATGATATCGCGTGCGTCACTGAGAAGCTTCCAGTCCGCTGTCCTACCTGCCTCGACGCAGTGCCGTATAAAGCCGGGCCAGAGGTTGTTTAAGCGCGTCAAGTTGTCAATGTCGGTTTGCCTCATATCTCTTATGACTCCATACAAAACAGATATTATAGCATCAAAAGCGCAAGAGTTACGATCCCACGAGGGGCCGTAATAGTCACTATAACCAGTGCTGCGTGTCGTTGGCTTCGTTCTGGTGACCTTTTCCTCTTTCTCTGCAGAAACATCCGTTTTGAGACGCTTCGGAGGCGTTGAAATTTGCACTCGATCTAGGTCATCACCCTTTCCTTTGATGCCGGCAGAAACAGCTTCCCTTTTTTCTGTTCCCGGACCGTCGGATTGGGTACGAGGCTCAACGATCTCTGGCTCTTTGTCCTGATTCTCATCAGCAACGAGTTGCGTAACAACGTACTTCCATTTTGAGTCGTCAGCTGTAGGCTTGAATACATCACCTTCTTCCCACCTGATGGAATGATGTACATCTTTTGGAGCGGCAGGGGCTTTGTATACTTTTTGGTAAGACCTAATCAACTGCTCCCTAGTGGATCCAGTGACTCTGGGATCTAGGTTGCCCTCGCATCTCCTCCGAGTTATTTCATTTAAGAGCTCGAGTTCACGGAATTCTTGCCGAAGCCCGTCTCTGAGAGTGCCTTTTAGATACTTCATCTCTGGCATGCGAATGATCACCGTTCCGTCGTACGTTGACGATCTAGACAGTGCAGTGTATACGGAGTGATACGATCTGCAGTGCAGTAGATCAACGATGTTGACAGGACGCGTCCTTCCCTGAGAGCCATAGTCAGTCATTGCGAAGTTCGGCAAAATAGGTACCTGTTCTCTAGTCATTGGTACCTCCGTGCCATTCCTCAGTTTTACAGTAATGCTTCTAGTTTGTGGTGCGATAGGAACAACGTTGAGAGGAAGGTCAGGTAGCTGTATCACTTTTTTCGGATTTACAAGCTCGACAAAGAGCGTTTCAAGTGCACGTTTTCCACCCTCCAGAGTCTTACATTTCCAGCCTGCAACCTTACCCTCAGCTCCATTGGTTATGCACAACTCAGTAGCAATGTTGTTTCTGATCAGTACAGGCATGTCAACGCACAGTTTCAAAATACCCGCACTATGATCACAGCTAGCAGGACCGAGAGACCACAACGCGTCCTGGAGAACATCAACGGGCTTACCAGCCGGTCCAGCTATTTTTTTAGTGACCTTCCGTTTTTTGCCTCGCTTATCCGTTGTCGATGAAATACTTCTCAAGGTGTCAACTGAGTGGAAAGACTCTAGATTCTGACCCGTGTCCTGAGCAAACGCCTGGCAACCGACGTCGTTAACCCTATCCCGACAATGATTATATATAGTTATCAACGACGCATGCCGGAATCTTTCTTCACTCAAATCTATTGCAGAATTGAAAGAGCCTGCGACTCTTGACCTAAGGACGTCGATGTCCTCTGGGGTGCAGGCGTTATAACGCAGATTTTCTAGCACAGTCCTGTAGGCAGCGTCTTCTTTACTCTGACCTCTATGTCGCATATTTTCTTTCAAAATTACGACATCAGTAACCTGATGCCACAATGCTCGACCGATGCTACTCTTTTGATTTTTCAGAGCTTGGCCTTGGTTTACGGTTGACGCTATGTTTATGTCAAACAAAGTCTTACCATCAATTGGTGGTAGTTGAGCAAAATCTCCAGCCCAGATCATACTCTTTCCCCCGAACGGGATGTAACTCAACCGAAAAGCATTTGACATCTGTTGACTAATGTTGTGCAGCCCTTCGCAGTTTATCATCGATGTTTCGTCCATGAACACGTACTCTACCCGTTTCAGCCTGTCACGGATGGAGTTGAGCGCCTTTATTCCTGTGTTCATTCGGCCGTTTTGACCCTCTTCGCCACCAGAGTTGAATGCTAGAACCGAGTGATAAGTCTGACCACCCACAAGAGACGCTGCAGTTCCTGTTGGTGCGATTATGAGGAATATATGACCTTTCCCGCTCAGTTTGAAGAAGGATATAAGAGAGTCAATGACGCGTGATTTCCCAGTCCCCCCCATTCCACCTAGGTGCATGTTTAACGGCTTTTTGATTTTCAGAAGGGAGTGATTTGCGACCAACCGAAAAGCGCGCTCTTGCTCTTTATTAAGGCTGAAGTCTTTGACTACCCTATCTATCCGCTCACGTTCCTCGGGTGTAGCGTCTTCGCAGTAACGTCCAAAGTATGACTTATGCATGACCTGCACATCGTCGAGTGCGTCAACCTCCATGTATTGAAGAGTATTGTCCGGAGCTTCTACGTCTATCTCCTCCATGCGAACCGTTCTCTCGTTTATTTCCTTTTCCTTGGCCCTGTCCAACAAATAAGACCACTGCTTAGCAGAAGCCTGCTCGCCATCAATGGCCTCGCGAGAAGCGTGCAGTTGAGAAGTGGATGATACCCTTTGCCACTCAGATGCCATTAAAGCTCTTTCCATTTGCTTTTTCATATCTTCAACTTTTGATGACGAGTCCGCCGTCATAGTAAGGAGATCGACAAGATAATCAGGAGGTTCGTTATCTGAAACGACTTGATCTGCTTTTGCGTCGTTGTCGATGTTCGCAGCATACTGCCCGTGCATAAAGAACGGTGAATTCTCTGAATCCTTTCGCGAAAGTCGGTAGTCGTCTCGCGCATCGAGGCATTCGTAACGTATCTTGCAGAATTTTCTTACAAGATTATGTTCATCCTTAAAGTTAAACGTCTCGAAGGCGTCAACCCATCGCTGTCCTGGATCTTTTAACTCAGAGCCTGTTCTCCAGGGTTTAAAAAGTGTCAACATTGCTATGTGGTAGTCCTCAATGTTACCTTGATCTTCCCGTGGAAGTAATCCACCAAGAAACAGGGGGATCCTACTCTGGACCCGTTTAAGCAAGGAAACAGAGTACGTATTCCGTTGAGGGTGGCCCTTCAAGAACTTCTCTGACGGGCTTAAGCGCTTGCCCTCGTATAGATCTTCGTCACCATGATCGGCATCAGACTCAGCGTCGTACTCAGAATTGGTATCGATTTCCATATCGTCGTTATTGGCCGCAGTCTTGTCGCGCTGAGACTGTCGCGTCTCTGTGTTATCCCCGATTTCATCACCGGAATCCTCGCTATCCTCGCGAGCAGCCCTGCGACGCTTAGATCGACTCATCTTTTTCTTATCGGCTCGCTCCACCCACTCGTACAAGGTAATGTTCTCGTACTTAGATGGACGCAAAGTGTAATCTTGAATGATAGAGTAAGATTTGATATCACCGTTTTTACTACTTGTCAAAATTACCCGTGATTCGTCCTTGCTGTCGGGGATGGGAGATTCGAAACTCCAAAAATTCTTAACCTCCCAGACGTACGGTCTCCAGTAAAATGGTTTGTACTTGAAGTTAGTGTAGTGGTCTGGTAATCCGAGAAGGTACGCTGAGGCCATTGGAGCCCCAATTTCTTGCTTAACCACCAAGGCATTCGTTATTTGAACCATCAACTTCTGAGCCTTCTCTTCTTGGGTAGCGTCGCCTCCGAGAAAGTCCGTGTTACGAGTTAATACGGCTCGTATAACTTCAAACATAGTGTGAGTACGAAGCGGGTTCTTAGTAATGTAGTCAGTGACGTACGCGATAACGGCCTTCAACGCCGTCCCAGACAAAAGACTGGTCACATCAGAGTTACAGCGCATCAGATAAGTCAAAATAGGATTGAAGGTGTTCAATGTCGGCTCCCCGTGTCTCATCTCTAGATGTCCGGTTTCTGGATCAACATTTGTCTCTGCTACGAGCTTACGAGGAAACCGTGATTTGCATTTGGGATACTTCTTCGAACTACAGCCCGCATGACATTTGTCATGCCGGTTAACACGCCACAGCAACTCGTCTGTTTCTTGTGTAACCTCTAACTTCCACGATTCGTACGCCTTGCAGCTATCACAGATATCACATTCCTTATTATCACATGGCTTTGGAGGTTTTTGAGGAAGCGCGTACGTTGCGTCTCGGAAGCCGTCTGCCCTTGGCGCACTCGCTGACTGTGCAATAGATGTGGGATCTGATGCGACATACGAGCCTTCGTGACAAGCCTCTAGATATGTAACCAAGCTCTTTTGAAAGGGTCCATCAACATCCTCGAGCCTGTCTCGAATTTCTTGTGGGCTGAGAGCGTCCCGTATCCATAATAGTAGATGTAAGTGAAGTCTCAGCCGTCCTTGTTCCTCTATTGTA